TACAACAAGATCACCCCCCAAAATTACAGAATTAGAATCATATGAATTCCTAGCAAGCTTGTGTGCCAACTTGATCCCATTCCTTGTTGGTGATGATGGTGTGTCAAATTCATCTTTTCCGACCATTTGATATGCATCTAATGTATGCGAGATAAGCCCTAGCATTTTTGCAAAAGACCCTACTAATTTGCTCTTCACACCCAAGTTTCTCGAGACCAACCCCATCCCTCCTCACCTCATTCTATACACATAAGAGATTCATTCCCACTATATTGTTTATATCTTGAGATGTAGCTTATCTGCATCATCAAATAGGTCCACCATATAATTACACTTCCCACTAACTCTTTGCACATGCTTCTACTAACTCTTCATGCACTCACAAGCACTCACTTCATCGTCCTAGGTTTCTTTTTCTATTTGTATATGCCTTTGATCGTCATCTGATCCACTCCAGACGTCGAGCATGAGTCCTCCTCCAACCATTTGCATTGGTTTGACTTCATGTGTTGTCAATGCGATCGTCTGACCCCGAAAGCCCAAACGACCATCTTTTCTCAATCCCATTCTCTTGTTCTTTCTTTCCGTACCTCTTTTTCTCCCCATAGGCCACAAATTTCCTCACTTCTCCATCTCTGTTGTCCATGCCATGCTACCATCCAGACTAGTTTTAGATGTGGTTGTTTTATGCGGTTGGCTCCTTTTGGCATTTTCCTGTGCTACTCACTCACTATGCCCAGGTCTTTATGATGCTGATGACCCTCAGAAGCCGCCCAAGCGAACGCCCGACTAGCCGACCAGCCTTAACTTTTCTTCTTCTGGTCCACAACATACGAAGATACAACATGACAATAGTGTGTATGTTTTATCCCCCTCGTTCATCTTTGTATGTTGCTGACTATAATTTTTTTTGTGGTTGCATAATTTTTCCGTCCAAATAAGTTTTATGGATTATAAGTATAAAACCATGTCATTTGCACTATTTTGGTTGCAAGATTCGATCACATTTACCCAAGGATTATGTATCCCATATTATAGAAAAACCGATGCAAAGCAATTTAAATGTACCCAAATGATAAGTGCCACACGCCAGGTGCGTGGTACTCCAGCCCTAACGTTTTTCGATGGCAATTTCAGTCACGCAAGGATGGCAAATTTCAGTGACACACGGCAAGTTCCTGTCAAAAATAAATTGAAGCACGAAAGTTGCTATGCTTGACAACTAAAGTTGTCATCATCGCGCCATTAAACTTGCCATAAAAAACGTTCAGAGTTGCCATGTGCTTGTCCCACATGTCAGGTACTTATCAGGGTCCTAAATGTATGCCTTCTGAAGTCTTCGTTCCCATTTGTTAAATTTGATGATAAAATCTTTTGTTGTTATTGTTTATGTTAGAGACTAATGTTTGACTGGCGACATGTATATTGTGAAACTTATGTGTTGATAATTGCACATGCTATAAACTATGAAATTCTCCCTCCATGCTCTTTGTTTGTGCACACTCTTATATACTTTATATTCAAGGGAACTACTTCATGATTATTATTTAAAATTTTGATTCATTATTTAGTTTATATTTTTATCCTTAAATTTCGGCAGCACGCGTGGAGGAGTTCACTAGAAACCAGGCAATATTGGGGATGAAAATGGAGTGGAAAATTTTCATTTTTTTCAACAGAAAAATGGAAACAGAGAGGAAATATGAAAAAGGAAATGGAAATTTGCAAAACGGAAGTGAAAGTGAAATTTTTTATGCGGAAACGGAAACAAAAACGGAATGGTGTTTTCCGATGGAACAGGCGTGGAAATGGAACGTGAATATGGAATTTCCATTTTTACTATAGACCTATGGTTGCTTTGTAGTCCAACCACCAAACAACACACAATTATACATGAGTAGAATGAATCATTTGCGCCAAACTTCTACTACCAGACATGTACTCAGCTTGATCCTATACGCAATTGCCCAGTACTACTACAATATTACGCCAAGTTGCTAACATAATGATATTATTTTGTAGCCATGTTAACAATTCATTAAATTTGTTTGTGTTTTGTGTGTATTTCTCTAAGGTTGATGGTTTTTTTAGGTTCCAGTCAATGCCCACTTCTATTTTCGTGTCCGTTTTGTATTCGTTCTGTGTCGGTTTTCGGTAGTATCTGTTTCCGTATTCATTTCCGGGGTTTCTATATTCGTTTCCTCTTCTGTAAAAATGTATGAAAACAAATATGGTAACACTCAGTTTCGTCTGTTTTCGCTCCGTTTTCATCCCTAGGCAATATACACCCAAACCAGGTGACTTAAAAAAAATTCAATGCTTAAGGGAAAAAAAACTTGCTAAGTATACTGTAGTTCAATTGCGCGCACGTTCAAAAACAACAAAAATCAGTCGCGTGCATGAGCTGTTCGGGCAATTGAATTTGCGCCCGGGATTCCGATCAGTCCACGGCGGCGTAGAGATGCACCGGTAGCCTGGGCTCCGGGACGGCGATGAGTGGCACCTTCTTGCGCGTCGACAGCCCGAAGAGCTCTTCCATGCTCACGTCCTCCGGCGAGACCCCGTCCGGCAGCCGCCACGCGAACCCGTGCAGCAGGTTCGCCAAGCCGGTGCCTATCACCTTCAGCGCCAGCCCGTACGCTGGGCACATCCGCCGCCCGGCACCGAATGGCAGCAGCTCGAAGTGCTGCCCACGAACGTCCACGGCGCTCCCGGCGAACCGCTCTGGCCGGAACTCGTCGGAACGGTCGGGCCACGACGTCGGGTCTCGCGCGATCGCCCACACGTTCACCAGCAAGCGCGTGCCGGCAGGGACGTCGTAGCCGGCGACCAGCGTGTTCTCCCGGGCCATGTGCGGGACGAGGAGCGGGCCCACCGGGTGCAGCCGCAGCGTCTCCTTGACCACGGCGTCGATGTAGGGGAGGTGGGCGAGGTCGCGCTCCTCGACCCACCGGCCGCGGCCCACCACGCGGTCAAGCTCATCGGTGGCGGCGGCCGCGACGTCCGGCCGGCGCAGGAGCTCCGACATGGCCCACTCCATGACCACCGCAGAGCTCTCCGTGCCACCGACTATGATGTCCTGGACAAAGGCCTTGATGCCGTCGCGCGTGAGCCTGGCTTCAGGTGATGACGACGTCCCATCCGCCTCGCCCTCCTTGGCGAGCTGCTGCAGCAGCACGTCCACCAAGTCCCTCGCCGCAGGGGAGCTGGCCCTCGCTGCCTTGTGCCGCTCCTGGTCGTGGTCGTCGAGAATACTCTCAAGGAACCGGTCGTAGACCTTGCTGAGCCGCTTCATTCTCCGGACGCCGCCCTGCAGGTCGAGCCACCCGAGCCAAGGCACCCACTCTCCGACGTTGCTCACGGCGCCGGCCACGGCGAACACCTCCTCACGCGCGCGCCGGAACTCCTCGCCCTCGGCGCTGCCGTAGCAGCCCGACCACTTATCCTCGACGGACATGCGCAGGACGTTCCGCAGCGTGGCGTCCACCAGGTGCTCCCAGACGGCGACGGCACGGCCGCCGCGCCGGAACAGGCCACGCACGAGCGCCCGGACCTCCTGCCTCCGTATATACTCGTACGAGTCGACGCGGCGCCCCGAGAAAAGCTCGGTGGTGCAGAGCCTGCGCGCCATGCGCCAGTACGCACCATACGGGGTGTGCAGGACGCCGCGGTACCCGTACGCGACGTGCTCGCCGGCGGTGGTCGGGGGCCGATCGGCGAAGGCGAGGTCGTGGGTCTTGAGGACGAGCCGGGCGGCGTCGGCGGAGGAGGCGACGACGGCGTGGTGGGAGCCAAGGCGGAGGTGCATGAGCGGGCCGTGGCGCGAAGCGAGCGCGGCCAGCGCGCGGTGCGGCGGGAGCGCGCCCGCGAGGGCGCCGAGGCTGCCGAGCACCGGCCACCCCCGCGGGCCCGGTGGGAGGTTCAGGGCTTTACGCCGGCCGCGCAAGTACAGGACGGAGCTGAGGACGAGGATGGGGATGGTGACCAAGGCCATGGCCGTGGGCATTGTCGGTGTTTGCTCCATGCTAACTAGGTTTAAAGACGTGGCCTTTGAACGTAAATACTTGGGTGTGTGTGCGCGCATATGGCCAGGCATTTATATGCAACATTCTGAGTGTAGTTTGCGATGAGAAATTGATTTTTCTACTGGTTTGTGATTGGTTGCAACGGATTTCACAATCCAAGCATGAAAAATCTGTGTTTGGCCATGCATACGGGGAGACAAGTCTCGATTCCTCAGCACAAGCATGGAAAATATGCAGATCACGGATTTACCAAAAATGCTAGTCACGGGCCTTTATGGACTAATACGGGATTGTTCCATCTAATCAAACTAGCGCCCCCCTGATTTTCAGGAGGGATGGGCCCCTTCCCACCCTTTAAACCCAATCCTACTCCTCCACGTTTGCTACCCCGTGAAGTCTGTAAAAATCCTGCCCGTGAATGTAGCATTGCCGGACGCCAACGGTCTGCGCAACCCTTTTGCGCTGCCCGCTGATCCTGCTTCCGCTCCCTCCATGGGCGGCAACCCCGTCCTCTCTCCCCGTTCCTCCGTCGATGCCGCAGCCGGCGTTCTCGACGACGCAGCCGGCGCCCTCGCTGCCGAACCTCTCCAGCAGGTCGCCACCGTCGCACCGGCCGCCCCCGCTGTGCCGGCTGCGACGGCCGCGCCGGCCGCCCCAACCCCATCCATTCCCTCTGATATCCTCCAGACCGTCCACATCCGTGGCCACGTCCCCATCGTGCTCGACCTTCTTGCCGGCAACCACTCCCAGTGGCGGCGCCACTTCGACACGGTGATCAGCATGTTCGGCCTTCATACCCACGTAGACTCAGAGGCGGTTCCTCGACATGACGACCCCGAGTAGCAGATGGAGGACCACACCATCGTCCACTGGCTGTACACCACCATTTTGCCTGAGCTGCTTGATGCGGTCATGCAGCCGGAGGACACGGCTCTCACTGTGCGGCTTGTCGCTGACGAGCTCTTCCGCAACAACCGGCCGGCGCGCACCATGTACATCAACGCCGAATACCACGCTGTCGTCCAGGGGGACATGAGTGACGGTGATGCAGTACTGCACTCGGCTCAAGACCTTCACCGATCAGCTTCGTGACTTGGGGCAGTCCGTGACTGACTCCCGGCAGGTTTTCCATCTTCTCCACGGCCTCAACCGCCAGTATCATTCCATCATCCCGCACATCACCTTCCAGGTCCCGCTCCCGTCGTTCCTCCTGTTGGAGGAGCACCATGCTAAGCAGGCGGCTCGCCAGCAGTCCGCGCATGCTCTCTTCGCTGGGCACGACTCTTCTTCGACTCCAGCGGCTCCTACGCTAGCACTCGCCTCCGACACCGCACGAGGGTGTGACCGTGGCCAGCGTCGTCGTGGGTGCGGGAACAGCAGCGCCTCTGCATCACCATCGCCCCCGACGCCGCGCTCGCCCGCCTACCCCGCGCCTGCTCCCGGCGCCAACTCCTGGACGGGTATCGTCCAGGCCTGGCCCATGCCCTGGCGCGCACCAGGCACCGGCGTCCTCGGGCCTCGTCCTGGCACGCCTCATCAACACGTCATGTTCGTGGCTCCCACACCGTACGGCTCAGGCTACGGCGCTCCAGGTGGTCTCCCTCCAGGGTACGGCGCCCTGTTCCCTGGATACGGCTCTCCGGGCGCCAGCTCCTCCACCGCCCCGCCGCAACAGCCATGGGACATGCAGTCCCTGCAGGCAGCGCTTCACAGCGCCACGGCTAGGCCTTCGTCGTCCGGCACTGCCTCAGAGTGGTACCTAGACTCCGGGGCCTCGTCCCACATGTCTTCGTCGCCCGGTAATCTCCACTCCCTTCGTCCATGTCATTCTCCTTCTCACATCATAGTTGGCAGTGGGGCGCATCTACCCATCACCCATGTCGGTGATGGTGCTCTCATCGAGGGCACGTCTCCTGTTCAACTCCGCAACGTCCTGGTCTCCCCCTCTCTCATTACAAACTTGCTCTCTGTTCGCCAAATTTGTCGTGATAACCCTGTCTCTGTCGAATTTGACGCATTTGGCTTCTCTGTAAAGGACCTCCGAACCAGGGCGGTGATCCTCCGATGTGACTCTGACAGCGATCTCTACTCGGTTGGTCGCCCGACGCTTCCCTCTCGCTCTGTCTTTGCCGACCTCACCGACTCCACCCTGTGGCACCAGCGGCTCGGACATGCATCGCTTCGCTTGACTGCTGATCACCTTGGTTTCAGCAAGTCTGCACCACACTCATGTCATGCCTGTCGTTTGGGCAAGTACACATGTCTACCTTTTAGCAGTTCTACCAGCATTAGCATGTTTCCTTTCCATGTTTTGCATCTTGGTGTATGGACATCTCCAGTTGTAAGCATCTCTGGCTACCAATTTTATTTGGTTGTGCTTGATGACTTCACTCATTACGTGAGCGGTCCCCGTGAGTGCCATCTCGGGTTGATCAAGCGTGTGCTCCGGTACGTGCACGGCATGCTTGCTCTCGGACTTCACCTCCGTGCCTCGCACACTCTGGAACTGCGTGCATTCACGGACGCTGACTGGGCTGGCTGCCCCGACACTCGCCGCTCGACCTCCGGCTTCTGCATCTACATCGGCGACGCGCTCGTCTCCTGGTCGTCCAAACGTCAGGCCGTCGTCTCCCGCTCCAGCACCGAGGCTGAGTAGCGCGGCATTGCGAACGCCGTCGCCGAGTGTGTCTGGCTCCGACAGCTACTTGGCGAGCTCTTCTGTCCCGTCGACAAGGCCACGCTGGTCTACTGTGACAACGTCTCCGCCGTGTACCTGTCGGCCAACCATGTGCACCACCGTCGGACGAAGCATGTCGAGCTCGACATCCTCTTCGTCTGTGAACGCGTGGCCCTCGATGAATTTCGTGTCCTTCACATCCCGACTCGTCAGCAGCTCGCAAACATCATGACCAAAGGGTTGCCATCAGAAGTTTTCTCCGAATTCCGGTCCAGTCTTTGCGTCGCCGGAGCCGACGTCACGACTGCGGGGGGATGTTAGACTAGGTAGTTCTGTACCGTATGTGTCATGTATAGTACGCCATATGGTATAGCCATGATCGTGCAGCAGTTGTTTGAGTAGTGCTGCACGTCTAGTGGTAGTGGCATACCCACGATCCCGCTAGGCTGAGTGAGTCCAGCAACCTGTATATATCACCCAGCCTTGAGCATAATAGAAGTGTGCTGAATCCCATCTCTTTCCTTCTCCCAAACAACTACGACACTTCTGATATTGCCTTTATCCATGTAAATGTTGATGTTTAATAAAGATTTTTCGAGCATGTGCAAGCAAGGTCTTCGTCCCCGCTGTTGTACCCCTCTCTCTCTCTCTCAAGACGTCCAAGAACATCACTGTGATCAGAACAAGAGGACGCAAGATGCACAATCTCCGCATTGGGGAAAATATCTCTCCATTGACCATTCGCGCAAGCTCTGTCCAAGCGCACTGGGATATTCTTTCTTAGCCTATTTCTGGCAGCCTGCGTCCCGAAAAGGACCCGTCTCCTCATGATCATACACACTTGTGATCAAAAGAATGAGAACAGAGGGAAAGAAGCCCCCTGTCTTATTCTTATAGGAGAATGAGGAGACTCGAACCCGGGCCGGTGACAGCAACCTTTGTGCTGTCCACCACTCCACCTAGGAGAGCTCCTCCATACACACTTGTGATCAAGACCCCACGGTTGGATTAGGGGGAGATTTCAAAAATGCTAGATACATGGACTAAAGCAACGGGATTTTACAGACCTGCTGACTTGTTCCTTTTTAATTGGACTAAGTAACCATCTCCTCCTAATAAATCGGGCCCCTTGATTTTAAGGGGTGGGGGTGAGTGCCAAGCCCCGTAAAACCCCGTAAAGCTTCGTTGATGTAGCAAAGCCGGTTGGCGTCTGATGCCATGTTTGGGAGAAGGAAAGAGATGGGATTCAGCACACTTCTATTATGCTCAAGGCTGGGTGATATATACAGGTTGCTGGACTCACTCAGCCGAGCGGGATCGTGGGTATGCCACTACCACTAGACGTGCAGCACTACTCAAACAACTGCTGCATGATCATGGCTATACTGTATGGCGTACTATACAGGACACATACGGTACAGAAACTACCTAGTCTAACAGTAGTAGCTGCTAGGCCCAAGATAATCAGCCTAGAGATGCTTGGCAGTATTCATATAGTTTGTAGCCAAATGCACTCTGCTCAGATTCAGGTCGAGCGCAAGGGAAAGTCCCTCGTTGAGAGCCACTGCCTCCAAAGTCTGGATCAGTGAGGTCCCCAGCCACCAAAGATGATGCACCAATATACTTGCCATTAGAATCTCTCCAAACTAGAAGGGAAAAATCATCTCGGGTGATCATCTTCATCAATTTGAAGGCCATCATGATCGTCCGCGAGTAGTTTTCTTTGGACTATGGGTCCATAGTAGTAGCTAGATGGTTCTCTCCCTCTCTCTTGCTTCTCAATACAAATATCACATGAGCTGCCTTACATGATTGTGATCCATCTTATGTAATTTTGTTGGTGTGTTTGTTTGATATGATGAGTTGTCACTTTATGATTAATTTTATTCATGAATTCGTTTGAGATCTCTTTGGTTTCTTTTCTGCACA